GTGAAAGGAAAAGGAAGCAGTCCTCGGATCTGTCCACCAGACCCCGAAACATCTGCTCCAGGGTGGAAGACTATGCTGGAGAACCTCTATGTATCCCGCAATCGGACAAATGTGGAACAGCATCAGGAAAAAGAATCGTCATAAAATTCAGCTTAGTTGTGAATTAAACTATGCAGTGTATTCATTTCCAGGGTCATGCTAAAGTTTATAAGGAATAGTGCCCCCCCTCCCCCCAAAGTTAAAATGTATAATATATATATATGAGCAGTGTACATACAGTCACAATGGACTATATATACGGAGCGTTCATTAGAAATTCCGCATTAAAATAAGCCAGGTCGTAAATTTACGGTGAAGCTCATTTGATGTTTTGGTATTATAGAGACTCCTGAGACCCTCACAGAAACCTCTCCTGCCTCATTCTTTTCAGAAACTGAGAAACAAAATAATTGCAACACCGTAAATGATGAAAGCAGCATTAACATACAGTTTCATGTTAAAATATTAACATAGTTACATGTTATAATTTTATATGCCGAGCAATGGTAATCTCCCGTCTCATCCTGCACCGTTAGCTGAACAGTAGATTAACATTGGTGGACTTGAACTTGGACTGTGTATTTGAAACAACATAGCTACCTTCTGATGTTCATTCATGTTTATTCCATGCTATAAATAGTAGTACAATATTAAGAGATAATTGGTTTAGGTGCCGTTTGAACTGAGGCGCTACAGTGATCTGTCACAACACATTAAAGAGCCACAAAACGGTATTTATTTGAATTAAAAAATAAAAAAATAAATAAATTTGAAAGCTGAGACTTTGTTTCATATCAAAAGTAACCAGCTCTGTCTTGTCTGTTTGTGCGTTGTCAGTGTCCTCTTTGCTCTTTGGTAAATGAAGTGTGGCATGAGAGCGCCATGGCTTGTCGGATGTAGCAACAGCAACTAAAGGGGCCTTTGCGAAGGGTCAATTCCTAGTGTTGCACCAAATTTAAATGACCATTTAGTCTTTCTTTCTTTTCGGACAAATGACAAATGTGACATTTTAAAAAGTACAAATATTCTGTCACCTCTGTTAATAAATGCATAACTAACAACTGCCTACATAATTGTAAATAACAATAAATAGACCAAATTATAAAAATATTTGTAAAGAATTACACTACAATAATTTTTTTTTAATAATATTAATAAACTAATGTATTTAGATAAAATTATAAAATTGGGTAAAAGTTCTTCCTTTTACGTACAGTGATCAAACTGGTTGTAGTTCTTCCTTAAAACAGCATTTTCCAATTCTTTACTCATTTAAAACAACTGGGTTTAAGTAATTTTAGATAAAGCAGGATGAATACAGGCTGGATACTTTCTGATAATTTATCATGGGCATTTTTTATGTGATACAGATTGCTACATAAGTCATCTCGCACTACTAAAAACATTTTCATTCTATCAGAAGAATACAATGACAGGTTATTAAGCATCCCACTTTACCTATATTCATCCTATAGCCCATAACACTGCAGGATACTTCCCATCTGACCAAACCAAATGACCAAACCAAATTAATTACAGCCAAGAACAAAAATGCAATTTATTAATTGTTGAAAGAAGCTCCATAGTTCAAAACATTTTTTTTTCGGTGCATGGCAACAATCACATTCTATGAGGAGAGAAAAAGAGAAAGAGAGTGAAAACAAAAACATTAAAAGCCACAGACTTCTTAAAATCTCAGTACAGACAGATTCCTTGACATTTAAAATCAAAAGGCAAAAGCAACCCAGTATCTCCATCCACACCCATCCCAGTAACACACACTCAGTCGCACACACACACACACGCGCGCAGAACACAGGCAACCTTGAAAGTCATGGGCTACAAACCCCCCCCCACAGTGCTTCAGTTCATTGGTTTAGGAATACACAGCATGGCGATGTACTGTATGTAAGAAACATGAAAAATGGAAAATAAGATGGGGTCGGTGGGGGAGGGAGACAACAGAGCAAATGAGCACAATAAAAGGACAGAAAGAATACCTCTAATCCCAATGACAGATGGGTCACAGAGGCTTTACGTACCCCACCCCTTGTGCATAGATCATGATCCATATAAACCAGCTTTTTTTCTCTTTTAAATTGATCAATTTGATACAGAATCCCTGCCCAACCCCACTTTTTAATTTCTCATTATGTAATACCTGCCACAAGAGACAGAATGACAAAGAGGAAAGAAATAGTAATGCACAATGGTCCTGATTTCAACAGTAAGGGACCTCGTGTTAAGAAAATACAATAAAGATTCAAACATACAGCATTTGTATGTTCTTTCACCATCTTTTGAACAATCAAAATCATTGATCATTTTGTTTAAAATGTAAAGCAATTTCAATATATAGATTTATATATAAAGCACTCCATTTTTTAAAGTTCATTAAGAGTTCATTATTTGGTAAATATGTAACTGCTACGGATTTAGAAACAAATGTATTTTCTTCTTCTGAAATCCATAACCTTCAGTGCTTATGATTTTTTAGTTTTTTTCTCCTGTTATCCTCTTTCTCTAAAAACTAACATTAAATGGCGTGGAGTTGGTACTCTGGAACCCTTGCCTTCCTGAGACATGATCCACTTGTTTTGTGTGTGCAAGATAGTGAACATTTATGTCTTTTTTTCTTTCTTTTTTTTTAACAAAGGAAATGTTTTTTTTGCTTTCAAAAATAAAAATAAAAAGTACAGGCTTTGATAATCTATGAAAGTAACATTGCCTACATAAATAAAAAACAAACAAAAAAATTGACAACACTGATCAATCCCAGAGTTCTGCAAGTAGCACAATAATCTTCATTCCGTAAAGTGTTTTTGTTATTCATTTGATGGAAGTATATGTCCTTAAGGATTTTTTTCTCTTCTCATGACAATCCCATCGCAAAATTTCTTTTCCTTGAACTTCAGAAAAACATGAAATGCTTGTAAACTGTTGGTGGCCTTGCTCAAAGATCGTGAACAAAAACTAGAACACATACAAACATTAACGACCCAAAAAAAAAAAAAAGAAGCAAACCAGAAAGGTAGGCACCTTTGAAATGAGTCTTGTAAGAAACTCTTCTCCAGATGTCTATCCAGCTCATCATGGTGTAACATGGGGAGTTACAAGTCCCTCCACATCGATCATTGGCCACAGTTCTTCGAAAAAAATTTCCCCACATTTTATATTTATATAATTTTTGTTTTTTGTATTTTTTCTGTTTATAATCTGAAAAACAATGGTGCAATACTAAAAATAATCAATTTCTTTATCATGGATTATTCCACAATAAAAGCCATTATAAGGTAGATAATAGTATTACAGATAAAAAAAAAAAAAACACTTGTTATTTTTCTCAAGTCCTTGAGTAAACATTAACACATGAATTGTCACCTTGTCCCCTTAGTACTTTAATATCATGTTGTACGATTAGCTGAATGAGGGGAAGCAGACACTCAGTGTAACTCTAATAACAAATACGATAACAATATACACACAAATATATTTTTGACTAGCCAACAAAAGAAAGACGAACAAAAAACAAAAAAACAAAACCATAGATGCTTAAAATGAAACAAAGGCGCAAACAAATCCACTGTAATCACTAGCATACATTGGTTTGAACCCACTCACACAGGCAAATGAACACATTCATCCGTCATACAGTACACGCAATCTTGTGCAAACACTCACATACAACCGATGTCACTGTTTTTTTTTTTCTTTTTTGAACTACGTTTTTTTTTTCTTAGTTCAGTTTGAACTGATGTTATCAAAAAGCTTGGAAGTGTATGAATGACAAAATTATTACAAAACATTTTTCACATTACATTATTGGCGCTTCTTTTGATTCAAGTATTTGTGTTTTTTAATTTGTATAATTTTGATATGTTTATGCTTTTTATCATCTAGGTAAATTTATGAAGAGAAGGAAACGGGGTTACTCGGGCCTGTAAACCAAAGTAATGGTAAATAAACAAAAAGGTAACCAGTTATATACATACACAGGATTTCAGTTGTACATGTATATCAACCAGCATGTGCATATTCTAGCCAGGACCCCAAGAAAGAGGATTTGTGTTTCTTAGAGCTCATCTCCACCCAGGTCCTGTTATTTTATACGATCGAAGCAGCCTTCTTATCTAAACAAAGTTGCATCTGAGCCGTTCGCTCATGGAGCTGGGTTACATTAGTCCTATAGATAAGTATATGCCCACAGTGAAGGACTGGGCACTTGTTGGCTGGCTAGCTAGCTAGTCTGCCAGGCAATCCTCTGGATTTTAAACGCATTTTGGACGTTTGATTTTCATGGTCTCGAGTACAGCTTAGACAAAAGGCAGTTAAAAATATATATCTTCAAAAACAGGCAATAGTGATTGTTGCTAGTGTCACTCGAGTGTAAACCCCCCCCTTCCAGGAAGGGATTTTCCCCTTTTAAGACTTGGAATCAACTGTCATGTGCCCCAGGCCTCCTGATACAATTCTGAATACTCTCCCTCCCCACTGTGTATATATATATATATATATATATATATATATATATATATAAATGGACCTGTTTAAAAAAAAAAATTATAATCTGCACCATTCCCCTACTATCGGGTCAGGACAGAATTTAATACCATCAATACAGCAACCCCAGAGTCATCTGTCTGCCACATCAGGGCATCAAAGGCTTTCAGAGAGAAGCACTTCAGTCAAGAGTGTACTACAGAATTAAAGTTTCCTTTTTTCAACAATATTAATATTAATCATACAAAAACCTTTTTTGGCTTAAAAAAAAATAAAAATAAAAAAGGTGTACCCAAATGTGAACCATCTACAGTGCACCTAAACATTCTGGATTCCCTGTTTAATTGTCAGCAGTCCTCCCAGGCGTATATTTGTACCCGGGACAAGGTGCTACCCGTCTGTCTTGGTGCCAACCTGCATTCTACCTCTCCATCTCCATGTGCTCTTTACAAAACCAAACATTAAGACAAATTTCAAGAAAGTAGTTCCACTCTGATAGATTCATGTCTAGGTTAAATCTATGATCAAGAATAGTTACATTAGGATCTAGAAAAACAGAGTTCTCCGAGTCCACTCGTCCACCCATTTAGCATCTTTAAAGCCACATTGGAGAATGCAATAACGCCCTCCTTGTAACGCTAAAACAGTTTGGGGTTCTCTGAGGCTGCCCTGAGACTGCATGTACATAATGTAAGAGATCATTCAGAGAGTAAACAGTGAGGGCCTGGTCATCAGTTCAAACAAAGCGGGGCCCGTTTCTTACTTTAGGCCACACTGTAAGGAAGCTGCCTTCTCACAATCAACTGGTGAGCTGAAGAGTGGGCTTGGAGAGACTACAGATTGAAGCTGAAGGCCTTGAACTGCACCTCTCGGTCGGTCTTTGCATAGAAGTGGAGAACCGAGTCTCCGTTATCATTTGCGTTTATTACTGTGAGAAGTGGCGACCAGGTAAAGTAGTGTACTCTGTCTGCCCTTTGTCGTAAGCACCAGCGTGAGTGTGTGTCCTGGCAGGGCTGCGACACCGGAGCGGAGGAAAGTGCAGAGGAGAGGCAGAAGACAAACTGAGCACCATCGACCTTACTCTTCGTTTTTGCCACTATGTGTGCTCCATCCTTAAAACAACCCTCACTACAAGTTATTCAGTATCAAATCGCCACCACCATTGACGCTGAGGTGTGCCTCTTAATCAGAGTGTTTCTGCATATGCGCAGCAAGAGGGGCTGGTGAGAGCAGCTACCATAGAGACCACTGCATTGACACACACAAATCGAAAAACAAAAAAGCGTAAAATTACGATATAACATCAACAACAGCAACGACGATAACAACAGCAATGTTGACAAAAAAAAAACACTGGCAATTCCAGAATGGAAAAACCCAGTCGATCATATAAAAAGTACATAAAACGAACCTGTCCACTTCCAGCTAAAGTGATCTTTGCATGAGAAGGAGAAAGAGAGTCTATGAGAGTGAAGTTGAGACGAGGTCGAGTGCTGGCGCAGTAGTAGTACGTACTGATTGGCCAGGTCTGAAGGAGCCACTGCTCCGGCCCAGGCGTTCCGGCATCTGGTGTGCCGGCCTGGCACAGCGGGTCAAAAGTCAGAGTGTGGGCACCCGAGGCGCCACAGCAGATAGGCACTCAATGGCCACACTTATCATACAGGTAGGCGGGGCCCCGCAGAATTGTTTCTATATTAGAAACATTACAACACGTCTAGCATCTCCAGATAAAAAGGCTAATGATTTTGGAGTACTGTAACAGTGATATTTACTTTGATATATATCATCTTAAAGAAAACAAAAACATGTGACTTTTTCAGTCTTGTTGCGCGGTGTTGTTGTTTTTTTTCCTCATCAGACATCCCTTCATTTTGCTACCATTTTCGAAATGTCTGACTTCAAAGTCAAAAGACCATGGAAAGACGAAGACGAAGAAGAAAGGAAACGGCAAAATCCGTTTAGAGTTCAAAAAGGAGCATGGAGGAGAAGTTCGGTAGATTGCTTTTCATGGTTGCTTTTTGTCAGTTTCACAAATCCATGTGTAATTTGTTGGCATTGAAGTCGGAGCTTGACGCTCTTGCTAAGTGCTATGAAGAAACCACGCCTTCTTTGTTCCATACTTTTGTACCAAATACAACAACGACAAAAAAAAAAGCACTTTGTCTACTGGGTTACAAGAAACACCTCTTATTTGGTTTGAAGCCCCTGTTGCCCCTGTAGTCACACTTGTCCTTGAGTGTGTAGAGGAAGTGCTTGTGAATGTTTCATCACCATGGGCTTACACACTGAGAGAGAGTCCTCTTCTGTTCAGTCCCACACTTGGTGGACATGGCAGGAGACAAGTCTTTGATCCCTCCCTGTCCCCAGGCGAGCTCCTACTGTTTCACCGGCAAAAAAGTACTGCGTAAAGATGGACGGAAGAGTCTGTGGCATATATTGCACTTCAGACAAACGACTGAGGGCATATGTTTTTTTTTTTTGAGAGGCCGAGGTCGTTTAGGAAAATGAAAGAGTGAAAATAAAGTAGTCCATTTGAAAAAGTGATTCCTGTACATTTTTTCGTGAGCAGTGGTTAATATATACCTCAGCTGTCCACGTGTCCTCTCAGCTTAAGAATAAATGCCTCAAATGTGCAGAGGGGTCAGATATCTGTCCGTCCTTTTGAGAGTTATGAGGACAGATGGCAACCGAGGGAAACAGGAAGGACGAATGCAAGTATGCTGTGGCTGAGATCGAAACCATGACAGTCCTGGCTCAGAAATTAGAAAATGTGCAATTCTTAAGATGAGTTTCTTCAAAGTACAAATGGAGTGTGACTGATCAGCAGTTAAGGCTAAAGTTTAGTGCTGTTAATTAATCCAAACGATCCAAAGGACAACTGAAAAAAGCCATGGATCCAGTCTAAAAGACAGGGAGTAGGGGAAGTTGGTTTGGAATGACGCATGTTTCTTCAGGGAGAGGGTGATATGCTGTGACTGGGCTGACAGGATGTGCTCGTGCCAGAGGAATTTAAAAAAATGGCAGCTTGTCTCATCGGTTTGTAGTAAAATACACTTTCACACTGGTATCAGTTATTAGAGAAAAGTCTCGGTAAAGGTTCACTTCTCTTTTAGTCACGGTTCTTCGTAAGAAGTCTATAGAATACTGTAACCCAAGCCTAATGACCAAAATAACATGAAAAAAACAAAACAAAACAAATAAGAAGAGGAAGAAGGTCAGCAGCCTCTATGCAAGTGTGGCCTCAGCCTCCTGTCTCTTGGTTTTTCACAGTTCCACTGACGTTGATTATCGCCAAATGATTTGCTTGGTTTTTGCTCGTTAAGTTTCATATTTCGCTGCAGTTAGGGGGTTCGAGCACTTGGCATTCTCACATGGACTCTCCGCTCAGCAGGTCTCCAGGGAGCAGCGTATTGATTGGGGTGGGGCTGCCCACCACTCGGCCGTCCTCAGTGCTGGGCGGCCCCCACAGGCTGGAGTACTGCGGTACACCCCCCCACAGCAGCTCGTTGCTTGCCTTACCGCTGGACCCCGTCCCGCCCACTCCTCCAAGACTGCTGCTGTTCCAGTGGCCGATGGGGTGTATGGCCGCCGTCCCTCCGCCCCCCAGCCGTGTTTGATTGGTGCCAGGGTTGGCCTGCCAGCTGGTGGTGGGCGCGAGGGACTGACCCTGTGCAAAGAAGCGGTTCACCTCCTCTTCTCCAGCAAACTCTGCCAGTATAGTGGTGTTTCCCAGAACACACCTGAAAAGCAGGTATTTAGAGAAAGAGAACAGATGACTGTGATGATATAGCGAAGATTTATTCTATCAAAAGACGACAACGGTAAAACATTCAACGTACATGTGTAGGGACTTCTGGGCTTTGGCAGCCTCCTCTTTAGAACTGTAGCGCACCACAGCATTGCCCTGCGTCAGGTTGAGATGGAATGTGATGAGTGGCCCGTGTTGCATGCAAAGTGTCCGCAGTGTTGAACCATCAATCTAAACGTCACAGAACAGAAAGAGGGTCATATAACACTGCACACAATTAACCAAGAAGTTTTAAGTCAGTGAACATAACAGTAGCCACAAGGATACCTGTGGTGTGAGGTTTCTCAGAACCAACCAGCTAGTGCTCCTGCTGGAGCTGTCTGTACTCCATGTGGTACCTACTTAGAGAAAGAAAGAATTCTTTAATGCTGTGATTAACTGTGATATATTTTATAACATTATTACAACATAGTCTAAAGCATTAAAGTACCATGTGCACTACGTTTTTAAAAAAGTTTTTTTTTAAAGAAACTAATACTTTTATTAATAAGTTTGCATGAAATTGATCAAAAAGTGACAGTTAAGACATTTGTAATACTACAAGAGTTTTTGATTTCAAATAAATGTTCTTTTGAACTATTCACAAAATCATTTGACACTGGAGACTGGAGTAATGGCGGGCGAAAATTTTTGCCATCACAGGAATAAATTACATTTGAAAATATATTTAAAATAAAATGTTATTTTAAACTACAATAACATTGTGCAATGCTACTGTCTTTACTGTATTTTTTATCCAAAAATGCAGCCTTGGTGAGCATGAAAAACCGGACCCCAAGCTTTTCAGGAAGTAAAAGCTTTGACAGAAACCAAACCTGAACAGCTCATCAGTATTGAGCACAATTTTAATATTGGTTCATCCTTTTCTGTCATGATGCTTGACAACCTCGATCACCCTTCACTATGATTGTATGGAAAATAACGGTGTTGTTAACTTTTTAATATTTCAACATCACATTTTATACAAAACAGTCTGGCAAACAATTGTGCTTCAGTTACATGTCATGAAAATGTTATCAAGCAACCGTGGGAATGTTGACTAACACGCGACATATGCCAGACCACAAAACAGTACATTCGCTCAGAGTTCCAATCCTCACCCCCACATTTTGACTAGCGTTTACACCCACATAAAAGGGTCAACTGACAATTCAACTGCTGTTTCGATACACCCACACCTTTGCCTAAGAATAGTTGCACAAACACATATCCGCCTGGGATTAACACTAGAACCGCCAGGGGTCATCGTATACTTAAAACCGCCAACGGGAAAATTTTACCCACGTACATGACTACTGTTTTGATATTGCTAAAGAACATATTATTTCACTGTATTACGCCACTGTCTTCACAAAGAAGTGTCTAGAGTCATGAAATTATTATGTCTAGTAATCAACTATATTTTTGTCCTGTTGTTTTATGGTCAAGGCTTTTTTTATGTAGGCTACACTAATCACTTTTCATAGCGGTCAATAACCTAAACAAGCCTGCACTGATTGTTAACATGTTATTTCCTCCCTACTCTGTTCACATGGAAGAAGGTTCTTCCGGGTTAAAAATAAGGTTAGTGCCTGCACCGGTTAAAAGGTGAGCGCGCGGGTAAAAGGGGGCGTTGTTGTAAAGGAACGGTGTTGTTGATGTGAGCGGGATGATGGAAGGAATAAATTGCGTTAACTGAGTAAACGTCGTGTTTATTTAATTTAACATGGTAGCAGAGGATGGTTGAAGGATGGCAGCTAGTTATAAAGTTCCGCCGAAATTTGATGAAACCAGGCCATACGAGTGTTGGAAAAATGAAGTTAATATCTGGACGCGAGTTACCGAACTCGACAAAAAGAAACAAGCCCTCGCTGTTGCCTTGGGGCTTGAGGGGAGAGCCCGTGAAACGGCGATGGAAATACCTGCGGAGGATTTAGACAGTGATAATGGTATGGCAACGCTGATGGCTAAGCTGGACGATGTGTTCTTAAAAGAGGAAAAGGATCGCGCATATGAAGCGTATTCTTATTTTGATGGAATAACGAAGAATAGTTCGGTTTCCATGGCGGACTACATAATTGATTTCGAACAGCGGTACAATCGGATGAAAAAGTATAATATGACGCTTCCTGACGCTGTGCTGGCTTTTAAGCTATTGGACACGGCCTGCCTCGACGAAAAAAACAGACAGCTAGCACTGACGGCCTGCACAGAGTTGACGTTTTCATCCATGAAGTCGGCTCTAAAACGGATTTTCGGAGGAAAAACGACAGGCTCGTCAAACGCAATACAAGTGAACCAGGACGTGGCATTTTTCACCGAACAAAGACCACAAGGAAGAGGAAAACGGAACGGAACGTGGCAAAGTGGACAACCAACGCATCCATTACCAGGGACTAATCCACTGGATAAATACGTTAAGAGATCCAGATGTGCTATTTGCCAGTGTACATTTCATTGGGCTAAAGACTGTCCACACAAGAAAACCGAACAAGTAAGAATAACTGAAGATGCAAATATTGAGGAATGTAACATCACATTGTTTACAAAGGCCTCCATGTCAGATGCAGAGATATTCATGACTGAATCATTAGGATCAGCGATTATTGACACTGCATGTACACGTACTGTGTGTGGGGAGAAATGGCTGGAAAACTATATTGATGACCTCACTCAAGATCAAGTGAACCAGTTGATGCAAACAGAAACTCGCAGTTGCAGACCATTTCGATTCGGAGATGGGAATTTGGTATATTCCACAAGAAATGTGAAATTACCAGCTAAAATAGGACTGACAAAATGCCTAGTTGAAACAGAAGTTGTCAAGGCTGACATTCCACTCCTGCTGAGTAAAACGTCACTGAAGAAAGCAGGGACCATTTTGGACATGGAAAAGGACAGTGCAGTGATGTTCAAACAATCTATTCCTCTTGAATTTACTAGTTCTGGACATTACTGTGTCGATATCAGAGACAAAGACACTAAAAAAGATCAAACTGAAGAGGAAGTTCTAACAGTGACAGAAAATATGTCTCCAGATGAGAAACGCAAAGTCCTTCTGAAGCTCCATAAACAGTTTGGTCACGCGTCGGCAGACAGGCTACAGAGGCTCATTCACAGTTCAGGAAATAAGGACAAAGAATGTTTTACTATTCTACAACAAATAGTATATGACAAAATATGACAAATATGCCAAAAGTACAAGAGGACAAAGCCAAAGCCTGCTGTGGGGTTGCCCATGGCTTCAGAATATAAGGAGACAGTGGCAGTGGATCTACATGAGTTAGAACCAGGTGTATGGTATCTTCACATCATCAACCACTTTACGCGTATCAGCGCCGGAAACATTGTGAAAACAAAGAAGTCATCTGAAATTGTCAACTCCTTCATTCACACTTGGATAAGTGTCCATGGTGCCCCCCAGAAGCTGTACAGTGATAATGGAGGGGAATTCAACAACCAAGAAATCAGAGACATGGCTGAAAACTTTAACATCGAGACAAGAACAACAGCTGGATACAGTCCATGGAGCAACGGACTACTCGAGAGACATAACCAAACACTCACCGAGATCATCCTGAAGGTCAAACGAGAAAATGGATGTGACTGGCACACTGCCCTTGACTGGGCCCTCATGGCTAAGAACAGTATGTTGAATGTTCATGGCTACAGTCCATACCAATTAGTGTTTGGACAGAATCCTAACCTTCCTTCTGTATTAGTTGATAAATTGCCTGCTCTAGAAGGTACCACTGTGAGTGCTAAAGTGGGAGAACACATTTCTGCTTTACATGCTTCTAGGAAAGCATTTACAGAAGCAGAGACTTCTGAGCGAATAAGAAGGGCACTACGTAAGCAGCTTAGGCCCACAGATGACATGTATGTGACAGGAGACAAGGTATATTACAAAAGAGCAGACTGTCCTGAATGGAAGGGACCAGGGGTAGTTATTGGTCAGGATGGAGCTGTTATATTTGTAAGACATGGAGGGACTCTTGTTAGAGTACATCAATCCAGGCTCTGTAAAACAAACACACAGGATCAGGAATCTCAAGATAAGCAAAATGAGCAAGACAACAGCCAGGTACCAAGTGAAAAAGGCAGCTTAAACAATGCAGCAGATAGCTCCGATAGTGAAGAAAAAACAGACAGCGAACAAGAAAACATCAGCGACAGGGAGGTTAATACAGGAGAAGTGGTTTATCCTAGAATGACACAACCTGAAACAGATCACGATGTGTGTGGTAATCCTGTCTCTTCTGCTGGTGTAAAGTTAAAAACAGGACAGACTGTAACATTTATGAAACAGAACTGTGGTGGTCTACAGAGAGCCAAGGTTTTATGCAGAGCAGGCAAAGCCTCTGGAAAATATAAAAACTGGTTCAATCTGCAACATATTGAAAATGATGGCAGTGATGGGCAAAAACAGTCAGTGGATATGTCATGTGTTGATAATCTTCACATTGAATCAACTGATAGAGAGGCTGATGTACTCATAACAAAAGATATTTCATTTGATGCAGCCAAACAGGATGAAATGGTGAACTGGTACAAAAACAATGTTTTTGAGGAAGTTGATGATGCAGGTCAAAAGGGTGTCTCTACCAGATGGGTCTGTAGTCTCAAAGAAACTCCGAATGGTATTGTGCCCAAAGCGCGACTCGTAGCCAGAGGTTTTGAAGAGCTTAATATTCACGAGCTGCAGAAAGATTCTCCAACCTGTGCTTCTGACTCTCTTAGGCTGTTATTAGCTGTAATCTGTCAAAATAAGTGGCAAGTCCATTCTATGGACATCAAGTCTGCTTTCTTGCAGGGCATGCAGTTGTCCAGAGAAATCTATGTCCGGCCCCCTCCTGAAGCAGGAAAAGAAAATGTTCTATGGAAACTAAACAAGTGTGTTTACGGCCTTGCAGATGCATCATTGTATTGGTACAACAAAGTGAAAGAAATCATGCTGAGTACAGGTGGTAAAATGTCTAAAGTAGATCCAGCAGTATTCTATTGGTTGGATGAACAGTGTAAGGTTACTGGAGTACTCGCATGTCATGTTGATGATTTTCTTTGGGCAGGCTCACAAAACTTCTCAACAGATGTGATACCTACACTAAAGTCTGTGTTACATGTTGGACGTGAGGAACATGAAAATTTCTGCTATGTGGGAATGAACTTTGTTACTATTAATGGTGTAGTTCATGTACATCAGCATAGTTACATTGAAAACCTACAGCCTATTCGACTGCAAGTAGCACGTGCTGTGCAGAGGGATGCCTCTCTTAATGAGACTGAAAAAGAGCAGCTTAGGTCAAAAATAGGACAAATACTGTGGGTTGCAAAACAAACCAGACCAGACATTATGTTTGAT